TTAGTGGTTAGGGTTAAGGGTTAGGAATTAGGGGTAGGGCTAGGATTGGGGTTAGGTTTAGGGTTAGGGTGAGGGTCGTTAGGGTTAGGGTCATTAGGGTTAGGATGAGGGTCATTAGGGTTAGGGTTAGGGGTTAGGGTTATTAGGGTTAGGGTGACGCCGTTAGGGTTAGGGGTTAGGGTTTTGGTTAGGGTTTGGGTTAGGGTTCGGGTTAGGGTTTGAGCCATTAGGGTTGGGGTTAGGGTTTGGGGTTAGGGTCATTTGGGTTAGGATTAGGGTTAGGGCCATTAGGGTTGGGGCCTTAGGGTTAGGGCCATTAGTGTTAGGGCTATTAGGGTTAGGGTTAGAGCCATTAGGGTTAGGGTTAGTGTTAGGGCCATTAGGCTTAAGGTTAGGGGTTAGAGTTAGGGTGTTAGGGTTAGGGGCACCATTAGGGTTAGGGATAGGGGTTAGTTTTAGGGGATAGGGTTAGGGGTTAGGGTTACTGTTAGGGTTAGGGGTCAGGGTTAGGGTTATGGCCATTAGCGTTAGGGTTATGTTAGGGTTACGCTTAGGGGTTAGGGCCGTTAGGGTTAGGGCCATTCGGCTTTGGGTTAGGGGTTAGTGCAGTGGGTGGAGGAAGCAAGCATTCAGTTCAATGTGAATGATAGAGCAAGTTTCAACTTTATTGAAAAAATCACACCTTGTATAAGCACTCTATAATAATCATGCATACTACTCACAAATCTATTGGATACATGTAGAAGGGTACATTATATCCCAGCCCCTTGTGGCATTTCAGGTATATCACAACATCTCCCCTCTTCTGGCCTGCCTTCTATCCCAAGGCTGTTTACCATCATACTCAAGGCCGTTGTGTACCTCAGTTTCTCTCTGTGTTAACATAAGAGTCCTTTGTTAGCATAACTGTACCCTGTGTTTTTTCCTTTGTTTACCTCAGATGGCTGCAATCAACTCCTGCAGAGACCCATGGCCTTGCTCTCTGCAAGCCATTCTCCAACAATTCCCCCTTTTTGTGTTGGCCGCACAAGCGTAAATTTACAAATATTTCTCATCATACAACTATATGGTATTTTAATAATTACTACTACATCAATAATACTATTCCAAATCACAGCAATAAACTGTTAAAGGTACCCTATCAATATAAATCATCCCATACTACCCATATTCAAGGGATATGACTAAATACCACAAAATAAACAGTGAGGAAAGTACAGAATAGCACACTTAATTAATAGAAGTACTAACATTCAGATCCACAATTGCTAGGGAACCCTGGATACAGTGAGAATTCAGAGTGCCCTTCCTCACAAACTGGAAACCCTACGTGATGCGTCCATCCGTAGGTGAGGCATCCAAAGTCGCTGCAAGCAGGTCCAGCCTTTAAAGCAACAGGCCAAAATAACTGGCCACTTTCTTTGAGCGGAAACATCTGATTTCATCCTCCTGTTGGGTTCCACCTGGAGCCTATTCAGCACTGAAGGGGGAAAGCCAAGGGAGTTTCTAATAAGGTTAAACACTTGAGCTCTTAATTCTTAATATTACTAAACAAAGAAAGTGGAATACATACATTCTTACAGATCTTATCCTTATTAATAACTACATTTCATCTAAACTACATCTTGCACAAGTGACTAGTAAGCCTATATATTTCATTAAGGAGTTACAATTACTGCTAGCATTTTCTCTTAAAAGAAATGGCAACTGTAGTGTAGTTTGTTCTGTTGCGGTAGCAAACATTACTCAGACATTCTGTTTAAATGATCAGTCGAAGAGATCACAAACTGTCCACACAGGGGCACCCACAGCACCCACAGCTGGATCCTGAGTGCTGGCTGCGTCTCACACCTCAGGTGTGGTTGCACACACCTTGCCGGTGACCATTGGAGACTGAGACCTGTGGAGACACAAGCATAACCTCTTCCCCAGGTTATTAAAAGATATGGTCCTTCTCAGTTACCCCTTTTTAGGTTTTTGTTAACACTTGAGCTTTACTTTGGACTTCTTATTGATCTGGTATCTATGATGAAAGACGACACAATATTGGTGACACCTGTGAGACAGGAGAAATGTTTAAAATGTTCATGACATATAATGCCTTATTTATCCTTTTGTGAGGTGTAGATTGATATCTTGCATCTTGCCCCTTTGTTATTATTGTTGTTGTAATAGACACTTTAGCTTGCTAGATGTATGCTTCACAGTGGCCTGACCAGCCGGTGAATGGGGAATGCAGGTCAGATGCTTGACTCCCCACTGTATGACAGGATGCAAACAGTGCTCCAGGAAAGGTATTAACAGACACATGTACATATTTTAATATCTGAAATGCAGCTGAGTGACAACAGATTGCTATAATTCTGAGGAGGTGAGTCCCCAAGAGTCGACACCACTTCCCTGTTGAAGAGATGGAGTCTGTCTGGTATTCAGGGCAAGTTGCAATGATGTCTTTAGCCTGATGCCTTGATAAAGAAACCTGTTTTTGTATTGCTCTGGCATTCTGGTGGAAAAAATGCATGTGTTTTACAGCAGAGAGAATGGTTGACCTGGAGCCAAGATCTCTCCCCGCTTTTGTTTTTGCAAAAGCATTTTCAAGGTCTGGCGTGCTCTTTCTACGATGGCTTGTCCTGTGGGGGAATACAGTATACTTGCGATGCTTGTTAGCTATATGGTGAGGATCTTGTTTTGCTTTCTCTGTAAGTACTTTGAGTGATGTCAGTGAAGGATCTTTTCACAAAGTATCAAATAAACTATGCAGATCATCATGAATTAGGCCCACGACAGCTGTATCTAATGTATGGCTCCTAACAGTGTCTGTAAATCTTTTAAAGTCTTAATAACAGTTTTAAGTTGTTGCAGGACAATACACACAGGTGATTCAGTTTACAAGGTTAGTGTCAGGGTGGGTTTCAGGGTGGGTTGTGCTACAGTGGTGATTAAGACAAATTTAATCCAATTTGAGTTGCTCATTGAGTCATACAGTTACGACCCCAAAATGCAATAGGGGTTTTCCAATATAAATGGATGAATATTTGCTACCCAATTTTCTGGGCCTCTTACATTAATGAAATCCTTGCTTTAAATTGTTATAGCATGACCACCAACCCTGAAAAGCATTTGAATCACTGGAGCTAAGAGCCAATCTGCTCACAGATATTATGATTACATCTGCACCAGTATCTAAAATGCCTGTCAGCTCGGCAGATTTTTTTAGCTTTAACGAGAGTACATTTTATCAGAATTTAACCTTGTGTCACTGTTTTAGTCCAAAAATATTTAAGGGGTACCTGCTGATCTAAATCCTGAGTAATTGCTGT